ATACCTGCAGCAGATACTACTTTTAACAGATGTAATTAAAACTGTTCTCTACAAACTTACAAATTGGAAAGCAAATATTTCGATTCATACTTTTGCTTTTAAACATCCCTTTTCCCCACAAGTACACAGGTGGTAGAAATGTCAAAGCAAAAATGCCACGTTCATGTTTACAAGTGCATTTTAATTCTGTGGCTTCTGACACCTGTGTTTATTTGGCATTATGTGTTTGTGTCTGCAAATAATGGCAGATTTAAATCTTCAAAAGCTTTGGAAAGAAGGGTGGAGATAGGAAAATATAGTTACCGAGCCAGCTGTCAGTCGTAATTGACATTTTTACTGTGATTATCTTCAGATTGGCATACATAGATGTCTGTTCATTGTGTTTCAATAATTTTTAACCAGCTGTTTTATTCTTTCTACTTCAGGAAAAAGCATCATTATAATAATTGGTTGAATTCTTGGATAATATTCCTTAAAAGGAACTATTTTCCCTTTTCTGCATTTTCATTCCCGTTTCTCCTTATCTTATCTAGTTTTCAGAGATGGGAGTACACTGACAGTAATTTTGTAATTTTCCCTTTTTGCTGCCAGTAGTAAATAGGAGAAAAATGTACAGAAAAACTATTTCAGTGCAATTTGTCCTTGGTTCTGTCCAGTCATGGATTTTTACAACTGATGGAATGGAAAACAAACTCCTGGAATAGTATGAGAATTTTCACCTCTTATCTTTCTATCTAGTTTAAGCTATAGCAGTTGATATTAAAGTTATTTAAGAAAAATGGTACTGAAAATGTTCTGTGTGAAATATGTCCACCGAGGGAACAAGATAAATTGGTCAGGGTCTCTGTGCAGTTAGTAATTGACAACTTTAATGATTTATAAAACTCCAGAAATAACAACCTTTGCAAACTTTTTGTGTCAGTATTTAAGTCTTCCAGAGTTCTTTCAGCAAAGACAGTGTGTGAATAGAATCTCACTTTACATTTTTGGGTTATTTTTGTACATTATAAAGCCCCCTCTGTTTAATCACTATCACATTTTTAAACAGTGAGGTCAACTGCTACTGACAATACTTTGGGTCTGCAGAGATCACCAGGGTTTGCTTCCAACCTTTTTGGGAGTGTGGGTTTGTATGAGTACCCTATATAATGGTAAAGGTTTTCCCTTGACATTATGTCTAGTCATATCTGACTCTGGGGCTGGTGCTCATCTCCATTTCTAAGCCGAAGAGTTGACGTTGTCCTAAGAAGCCTCCAAGGTCATGTGGCCTGCACGGAACAACATTTCCTTCCCACAGAAGCAGTGCCTATTGATCTACCCACATTTGCATGTTTTCAAACTGCTAGGTTGTCAGAAGCTGGTCCTAAAAGCGGGAGCTCACCCCGCTCCCCAGATTTGAACCGGCAACCTTTTGGTCAGCAAGTTCAGCAACTCAGCGGTTTAACCCTCTGTGCCACCAGGGGCTCCTGAGTACTCTATATACTTATGTGTAATCTTAGAAATTTTACTCATAAAATCAACCCAAAAAACATGGATCAACTTGCTCATGAATGTTTTTATTTCAGGCAGGATCTTTTTTTACTATTAATGTACCATTTAAACAGTGGTGAAAAGCTATGTTTAAAGTTGCACGACACGGCAAAAAAAAGTTAACTACAAAGTGTTTCAAGATGGAAAGGAAAGTAGAGGATTAGTCATATATCTGAAATTGCCTGTTTGGCTTGGATCTTAAAGAAAGGTTTTTAAGGTGTTAAGGCCGCCTGCAGATTTGTCAAAAGGAATATAAAATTAAATCAAGAGTGTAGTTAATAATAGAGGGATATAGTTGCTAATGGTTTTCTTACGTATATGGTTATTGGAAAGATTTAAAAGGGATATAAAGATATGTAGAGGATGTTGAAATTAGGGTTGTGAGATAGGATCTAGGACAGGGCTCTTGTGACTTTAATCCTTTAAGAGGTCTTTGAGTAGGATACAGTATAGGTAGTCCCCAAGTTATGAGTAAGATAGGTTCTATAGGTTTGTTCTTAAGTTGAGTTTGTTTGTTAGTTGGAACAAATACGGTACACTTTTAAGTATAACTTCTCTCTCTCTCTCTCTCTCTCTGTGTATCAATTAATCAATCAATCATAGGGAAGAGCTAACACCTCTGTGGTGTTTGTTTTTCTGTCTGCCCCTCTGTTCAAAAGATTTCACCTCACTTTCTGTCCCTGTGATAATTGGATTTTGAAAAATGTGGCTTCTAGTGGAAACAAGGATTGGTGATAAAGCTTCAGTAGAGACTTTTCCCCATGACAACTCTTTCAGGAGTGAATTTTCCTTCTGAGGGGTAGATTTCCCTTACTTCCTGTTGTATTATCCCAATTCTTAACCACGAGTCTCTTGTAAGTCGGATGTTTGTAACTGCCTGTACTGTAGAGTTCTGTTAAGAAGAATGAAGGTTATTTTTCCTCAATTTTCAGACCCTAATGTTCACCTACAGGCATCTTCTCCCAATATAGCTGTTGTCTTTCTGAAGGAGAGCAAGAAGGTGGATAATATGCCAGGGCTTCCATTTTTCACCAGCAAGATGAGTCATTGGGTTGGGATGGATGCAGTTGAAAACTGAGCTTCCAAAGCAAGGGAGGAAGATACATACCACTTGAGGGAGCCTTATAGCATTTTGCTCTGCTTGAAAATCTATTAAGCCTCAAAGTACAGTACCTAATCCCTAATCCAGTTTGCCAACCCTACTTGAAATAGACCCATAAAACTATAATTTTCTAATGTCAACATCTCCTGAAATGGCACTGTTCCACACATCTGCTTCTAATCCTTGTTCTGGAGAACTGGACAGTGTCACACAACAAGCCTTGCATTTACATAGGTTGTGTACGTGGAATAAGAAGTGTTTTGGATTTTTTTTTAATTGTTAGAATATTGACCTAGACCATGAGATACCTTGCAGATGGCACCCAGATCTAAACATGACATTAATATGTTTCGTATATACCTTATACACATAGCCTGTAGATATTTGATACGCAACATTTTTCATAATTGTGTGCATGAAACAAAGTCTGTGTACATTGAATCATCTGAAAGCAAAGATGTCACTTTAGGCATGTGCGATTGAAAAAACAATGTTTCAAAAGTCATTGCAAAATCAGGGGGTGCTGGCATTTCATTTCTAAAGTGTTTCTAAAGCATCGTTAGCAAAACTTTTGTTAATATAATGAGAGTAACAAAATTTTGTTACTTTTTACTTATAGTAATTGCTCAAGTGGGGAAATTTCAGGGGCTCCTTTCTCGCTAACATTTACAGCTATTGGGGTGAAACTTGCTACAATGGTAGAGTAGAACACATTTACCACTGCTAGCCCACCAAGATTCAGGATGTTTCACTTATCCATGGAGTTTTGGGAAAATTTCAAAGTTTTTATAAACAGCATTAAAAAAAACTACAAGAGCTATCAAGATTTTCTATACAATAACACAAGATGACAGGGGATTATTCCCCCCAACTTTCAGAAATATACATACATCTACTGATTTAAGGGATTTTAATTTTTTTAAAACAGAAATGGTTTTTTTTAAAAAAAAGCCACAACAGCTATCTCATTGAATGTCTCCCACATTAACCAATATAACTTCCATTTAGGGATTTCTTCTTAGCCCAGCACAGAGGTTTACTTACCAGAAGTATCAGTCAGTCCTCCTCTTTGCACAGTCAACAGTTACTCTGGCTGGCTGCTGCTATGGAGGGACAAATCTCTCCCCTATTCTGATTGGGTTTTTTTTTATGCTGAGCAGAGTTCTGGGAAATGTAGTTTAGGGCAGGGCCTTTTGAATTCTCTGGCTTAGGGCTCTTCGTCTTCCAAAAGCACATTTCCCAAAATCCTGTGCTTTCTTAGTCTCTTTCCCAGTGAACTCTGCTTTCTCCCTGCTGCTTCTCTCTCCTAATGGTGAGAGATCACTGATTTAAAGAGGAAAGGCGGCCCTTTTGGCTTTGCTTTGCTTCTTTGCGTTGTATATCTTGGGAGGCTTCCAAGATTTACGAAATGCAAACAAAAAGTATTGGGTAAGTTTTGATTCTTAAGTTTTTGGCATGGGCCATGCCGAAGTGTCAGATATTGCACTGTAAGTACAAATTTAACAAATTTGATACGACTTACAACAACTAATGAAAAAAATTGCACACCCCTACTCACTGTCTCACCCCCCCCCCCTTGTGAACAATTTTGGGTTTGGAAATATTTCAGATTTTGGAGTTGTGTACATTTATATCAAGGAAACCATGTGGCAGATTGCAGCCGAAGTCTAAAGCAGTGTGATATTTCTACAACATGCGTGATGACTCCATTATTCAGTAAAATAAATATTTATTATTATTAACGATATATATGAGAACTGATTTCCATTTATTTATTTTATTTTAATGTCTTCTGTGTTGTGATATGTGTAGAATAGTCAAACCATAATAAAAAGAAGTACAACCTAGAAATGACATTTAAAATAGAATAAAATCAGCAATAAATGGCTAAGTGTTTAGGACTATCATCTGTGTTGTTGAGAACATCTAGACCTTGCTCTGGTATCACTAGCCTTGAATGAACAAAGTAGATTGATTCAAACTCTAACTTTCAGATGTAGACTTGTTTGCTCCCCAAAGAACTGGCTATGTAGATTCTTTCTAAGAGTTTAGACCATCGCCCACTTGAATCCAGAGAATGACAGCTTAGATGTGGCCTATGTTTGGCCTATCAGCCTTGTTTTTCCTGTAAGTTAATTGTATCGGTTGTGGGAATCATTCAGGGAAAGGCGTAAAGCACTTTGGGTACTTGAAAACATAAATACAGGGTGAAACATCAGCAATACAATTAGCCATATAGCGTCTGCTTGTTTAATTTTGTCTTTGTGCAGGTTTGGTGTTGATCTGTTTTACAGAATTCAGAAAGCAAAGGTGAGAGCCTCAGCATTCCTGTTTAAGCCATGCTTGCTTTTCAAATTTCTGTTCCCAGGGTAAGATGGTAAAAGGAATGGGTGGCGCCATGGATCTGGTGTCCAGTTCAAGAACTAAAGTGGTTGTCACCATGGAACACGCAGCCAAGGTAAATATACAGATTTATTATCTTCTCAGTTTCTTTGTGGACTAGATATAATATGACAAAGGAAGGCTTCAGCTTGCATAACACGAATTACACTATGTAACAAACTCTTTCGTATCTGGGTTATAAATGTCATTTGCTAATTGGTTCTATCATAAAACATAGAGAAGTTTATTAAACTGCAGCACATTTTGCTATAGTTTTTCAATGACTATCTCCTAGAGTCTCAACCAATTCAACACATTTTGTGTCAGCCACAAAAACAAAGTTTCTGGAGTATAATGATTACTTTCAGGTACTTCCTGCAAATTTAAACAGGAAATAACACTTTCAAACCAGGAACAGATTTCTTTTTCAAATTTTATTTCATACTGTTATTGCTTGCACTCCACATCCTTGTTCCCTTTCATATTTGTTTCCTGCAGAGAGGGGCAAGATCTGGCTCCATTCTGGTGCATGTGTCTCAATATGTGCGTTCCTGTTGTCAGTTTCTTTCGGCTAGCCCTCATGTTTGTGTCTGTATATTTTGCCATGCTGCTTCCTGTCTGGGATCAACATCCCTTGTCTCTGTTCAGCGAGCCAGTCCCTTTGGCATTTCAAAATCTCGTCTTCATCTCAGCTTTTCTGTAGCTTATGATCTGCTATTGAATGTCCTCTGATCCCCAGAAGAAAAGACCACTGTTTGGTAGTTCTTCAGAAAGGCAAGCCATTTCAGTCTGTTTGAGCAGAACAACAAAGAGTCTTGTGGCACCTTTTAAGATTAACACATTTCTTGAGCTTTGGTGGATTAGTCCTCCTCCAGATACACAGCTTCAGGAATTTCATAATCAAGCTTCACACACATTGTTGTGGGCAGATCAAAGTGAAAGTGAATGCAGAAAATGAGAATTGTATTGTTTATATTGTTGACGGTAAACAGTCAATAACTTGCTATTTTTCTGCATACAGTTTCAGTCTGATTTCAACCACAATCATGTATGCTGATATATACTGAAGCCTTTGGGTATAGGGAGTCCATGACTTTAATCCATGGGAGATGATGCTAAAATACATGTTAAACTTCGTTGTTGTGATGGCAGTAGATCTACTTAACTGTTAAAAAGCCAAAGATTTTCCTCTATGTTTAAAATAACTGATTCATGCATCACGTCATGATAGTAGTCTAGAAAAAATGGCAACTCCTAAATTCATCGCCCAGAATGGATGTTTTCAATGTAGGCCTGAATACAAACTAACTTCAAGATTATCTGCATATTGGGGGGGGGGGGGGGGGGGGGTATATGTTGCAGATCCAGGTCTACTAAGCTGCACTTTAACTCCTATTTAATTTACTGTTCATTAACCACTAGCACTTTTTATAGGCAATATATGCCTCATCTCCACAGTTCATGAGAAAGGAAGTTCATTAGATGTGATACTCCAGAAGACAGGAACAGAATTCAAAATCTTAACAGATTAGAGAGATGATTGGCCAAAACTAACATAATGAAGTTCAACAGTGAGAAATGCAAGATACTCCACTTAGGCAGGAAAAATGAAATGTAAAGATACCAGAAAAGGGAACGCCTGGCTTGACAGCAGCACATGTGAAAAAGTTCTTGGAGTCCTTGTGGACAGGAAGGTGTACATGAACCAAGAATATGATGTGGCAACAAAAAAGGCCAATGGGATTTTGGCCTGCATAAATAGGAGTAGAGTGTCTAGATTCAAGGAAGTCATGCTTTGGTCAGACCATACCTCGAATCACAGTGTGTCCAATTCTGGGCACCACAATTGAGGGGAGATGTTGACAAGCTGAAATGTGTCCAGAGAACAGTGACTAAAATGATCAAGGGTCTGGAGAACAAGTTCTATGAGGGATGGCTTCAAGAGCTGGGCATGTTTAGCCTGCAGAAGAGAAGGCTGAAAGGAGACATGATGCCATGTATAAATATGTGAGGGGAAGTCATAAAGAGGAGGGAGCAAGCTTCTTTTCTGCTGCCCTGGAGACTAGGATGCAGAAAAATGGCTTCAAACTACAGGAAAAGAGATTCCACCTGAACATAAGGAAGAACTTCCTGACTGTGAGAGCTGTTCAGCAGTGGAACTGTCTGCCCCAGAGTGTGGTGGAGGCTCCTTCTTTGGAGGCTTTTAAACAGAGGCTAGACGGCTATCTGTCAAGGGTGCTTTGAATGCCCACGAGAACTCTTCCAATTCTATGTTGCTATGATGGCATGCCTGGAAAGCCTTTTTCCTGTAAGCCATGGACAGTTCCTGAACAATAATAAACAACTATGTCAGCTGTCATAGTTGAAGTGGGTCAGAGATGAATAAATGGTGAGGTTTTTGAGAGCCTTGTAGCATACGTTTTTTTGTAGTATTGAAATAAAACATTTAATCTCTTGGACCAAACAAAGTCGGGATGCATATTTTCGGGGATGGATAGGATTTCAAGGAACACTGTGCCTTCCCTCCATAAGGTTTGTCTCCATTGCAAGATTCATTTGGCTGATCTCTTTATTCTTTGCAGACAGTTTGAGATGCTTCGGTTGGCTGCCTTCTTCATTCTTCCAGTCCTATGACTTTCTGAAAATAGGCTTTAACCACAGCTGTAATAATAATCATTTGACAGTAGGATAATCTTTAAGATGCAGTGTTCTGCATTGCTGATGCCATGGCGGCTGTGCTGAAAACCTTCTCTTTCCCCAATTCTGGGTATTTCAATCTCTATAGGATGCAGAGAAGAGGTATTACATGACCTTAAAAGTATATCTGATGGACTTGTGGAAACTCTGTTTTAAAAATAGCACAGATAAGTGCCAGGAACAGAATTTGGAAGGTCCTTGAATTCAGCATTGTCACAGGCCCTTCAGTGATTTTTTAACTTAATTCCAGCCAGTGTCGCTAATGGAGGGACCTGTCCTGAAAAGAGATGTTGATATGAGCAGGTATAAATTGGGAAAAAGCAATTGTTCCCTATAGCAAAGGAAAGGGGAAGAGAACACTTTAAGCTACTCAAATTCTTGTGTTTAAAGAGAAGGTACATGGTGTTCCATCAGTGAAATGCAGGTTCAACTCCTATGAAATTTAGAGAATTCATCATTGATTGATGTTAGTAGGCAGCTTTTTCCAGGTTACCTCTTGAAATATATAAATGTTAATGAAAAATGTAGAGGGGAAAATGTTACTAAAGCAATTCTTTGCTGTCAAGAGACCCAAAAATAGTTTTTCGGCCATTTTAAAGATGCCTTTCTGTTCTGCATTGTCTTTTTGGTCCATGCAGACAGATCCAGAGATTATAATCTTTGGAAGTTTTACTGCAAAATGATTTTTAAACAAATATGGTTTTAACATCCATATGGACAATGCAAATGTGAACATGCTCTCAGATATCAATTTGCTTATGTTTACAATTTATTTCATGGTTTGCTGGTCTGTAGATTTACAGAATGGACTACCCATTTTGAAATAGCTATGTCCATAACTGATTTGGTGATTAGTTGGGAAAGACACAGGGACTAAGCCCAGAAGTGAGTGAAGGGAATTATTTGTTTATTCACAAAATGTGTTTGCTGTGTGAAAGCCTTCCCGGCCACCATTGACACCTGAACATCAAGCATCAATGCTGAGTCCAGGAGGACCCCCAGACTGTGGACCTGTGTCCTCAGGGGGAGTGTAACCCCATCGAGCACAGTTGCCATCCAATACCCCGTTCAGCCTCACGACTGACCAGGAGGACCCCAGTCTTGCTTGGATTAAGCTTTAGCTTGTTAGCACACATCTAGTCCATCACAGCTGCCAGGCACTGGTCCAGGATTTGAGGAGCTTCCTTGGAATTCGGTGGAAAGGAGTAGTAGAGTTGAGCACTATCTGCATACAGATGGCACTGAACTCCAAAACTCCAGATGATCTCACCTAGAGTTTTCATGTAGATGTTAAAAACCATGGGAGATATAATGGAACCTTGTGGGACCTCATAGGCCAATGGCCAGCAGATGTCTCCCGGCTTCACCAACTGAATGCGATCCTCCAGGAAGGAGCAGAGCCACTGCAAAGCAATGCCCCCAAGACCCATTCTGGAGAGCCACCCCAGGAGGATATCATTGTTGATTGTATTGAAAACCGTTGAAATATCCAAGAGAACCAACAAGGACACACTCCCCCTGTCTAGCTCTCTGTGGACAAAATGAGACAAAGGGGGGAAAAGATGTTAAGATTAATTTCTCCCCCTGTCACTGACACTGAACAGTTACTGATTACAAGAGGATATGGTTACAGCAATCTAAAGACATACCTTTGAGGTTGAGGCTCCTTTAAGAAAACCGTTTTTGGCTCGTCATGACTCTTCTTCAATCTAGTCTTTTTTTAGCTGGAAGTATATTACTACCATCAGTATCTGGAGAATGATAAAAGAGGACTGGAGAAACACAGACTTTTGGTGTTTGAGTAGCAACAGTCTTCAATAAACAATACAATAAAGTTTCATCAGGGAAAGAGGGGGATTTTACTCCTCCTGATCCCTATTGTAGACACAAATGCCTGCATAAAATAGATAAGGTAAACAACCTTAGCCTCCAGAATCCCATATTGAAACAGAGAGAAAGAAGGAGAATAGATAAAGCCTGCCTCACCAACTACCCTCAACTTACTAAAAAGCATCAATCTTTGTGTTTCATCTTCTAAATTCTAATTAGGAGCCTCGGTGGCATAATGGGTTAAACCCTTGTGCCAGCTGAACTGCTGACCTGAAGGTCAGTGGTTTGAATCCAGGGAGCAGGGTGAGCTCCTGTTTGTTAGCCCCAGCTTCTCATGTGGGGACATGAGAGAAGCCTCCCACAGGATGGTAACAAATTTGGGCGTCTCCTGGGCAATGTATCTGCAGATGGCCAGTTCTCTTGATACCAGAAGTTGACTTACAGTTTCTCAAGTCGTTTCTGACATGATTTAAAACAAATCACTCAGAAATCTGAATATTGCAAATAATACATGTTTTCTGTGTTAAAATGTAGAAAAAAATGTACATTTTCCCCCAGTGAAGTGCAAAGAAATGTACGTTGAGTTTACCTCAGCAGGAAGTCTGAAGTATAAGAATCATAGAAGCATAGATCAGGGCCATAAGAGTAGAGGACCTGCTTAGTGCAAGTTCTCTATCTATAGTATCCCAACTAGGAAGCTATCCATCCTGTTTATGAAGAAGGAGACACCATCACCACCCTAGGCAAATGGTTCCATTGTCAAACTGGTCTTATTGTCAGGAAGTTCCTTTTATGGTCCATTGCAATCTACCCTCTTGCAACATAAAACCATTCAACCCAATTCTCAGGGGTGAATGTGCTCTCTCTGTGTTAGCTGTTGAGGTGTTTCAAGAGATCAGTTATGACATCCCCTTAGTCTTGTCTTCACCAAGCTGGGCATGCCCAGCGCCTTCAATTTCCCCCCATATACTTTGTTCTCCATGCAAGGTATCATCCTTGTTCTTCTTTGAACCCTTTTGATCTTGTCTATATTGTCTCTATATATAATTAATATAGGGCCTCAAACGGAATGAGGCCTGACTAGTAAAAAAATATAGTGGACTGTTACTTTCCATGATTTGGAAACTAACTCATGCTGCTTTTGCCTTCTTTGCTGCAGTATCATATCATGTTCAGTTATTATCAACTGATAGTATCTTAGACCAACTTCCAGTTGCATATGCTGTACTTTCTCTGACACAAATAAGTCTACAAAATTTAAGTAGTGGATTCAGAATCTTGCATCAAAATCTCAGGAGCCCCCGGTGGCACAGGGGGTTAAACCCCTGTGCCGGCAGGACTGAAGACCGACAGGTCGCAGGTTTGAATCCGGGGAGAGGCGGATGAGCTCCCTCTATCAGCTCTAGCTCCTCATCCGGGGACATGAGAGAAGCCTCCCACAAGGATGATAAAACATCAAATCATCCGGGTGTCCCCTGGGCAATGTCCTTGCAGATGGCCAATTCTCTCACACCAGAAGCGACTTGCAGTTTCTCAGGTCTCTCCTGACACAACAACAACAAAAAAAAAAATCAAAATCTCAATTCCAGCAGAAGCACTACGGTTGGAGGTGGTGTAAATGAAATGTTTTGAAAAGTAATGTACTCTGAGAACTTCTGAATTTTCAGAAAGCGGTTTCATCTTGTAAAGCAATTGCTCATTTTCCTGTTTTGTCTCCCTCTCATTACAGGGCAATGCCCACAAAATCCTGGAAAGCTGCACTTTGCCACTGACTGGGAAGCAGTGTGTGAATCGCATCATAACAGAAAAGGTAGCACATTTTGATTTTCTTACATTTTAAAAAAATCCAATTGCCTTATATTCAGAACAGGCTTGTACATTAGATTGGGTTGCAATTTCCCTAAAGTCCATTTGGAATGTTAATGTGTGCATTAATGGGTCGGGGGGCTAATAGCCAATTTGATTCAACTTAGCTCAGGAAGAAGCAAAAATGTTCTGTTCTCTTGAATATAGAACAATTACATCCCTCAAGCATATATACAAATTCACTTCTGGTTTTCTGACTCTGCAGGCATTGCAGCATGTACTCTAAATGCCAGAATTTGTTTCCAGTCCGACTGCTTCAGAGGTAGCAGTCTTGCGCATTGCAGTTAAAATATAGCCTATGAATACAGACACATTAGTCTGAGTTAGAAATACATAGAGTATTAGTATCAGAAACTCTTCAACCAGTGTAATCTGTGGATTCATATATATATGATGTTAATTCTGATACTGTTTTTCCCCCCCAAGGATGTTGCTTTGTGTCAGCATGACTATTCCTGGATAGCTAGTGATATGTGGCAACATTCTGAGATAGATGTACGTGTTCTCTCTGGAATCAGCTCACTCCTTGGTTTCTTCTGATGGATTATCAGAGGACAAGGGCAGACATAACGAATAATATCAGGGATATACCCACGTCAATAGTATCAGTACTGCTATCATGGATGGTGCAGACGAGAACAATCCCACCCTAACCACCTAATCGGAGTGTCAAACTGATTTTCATTGAGGGCCACATCAGTTTTATGGTTTCCTTCAATGGGGCATTGAATCCATTGATGGAGAATCCATGGATAGAGATGGCCAACTATATAATTTTTTACACACTTGTCAGTGCTTTTTAGTTTTTGTCCAGTTTGGGTCCCTAGATGTTACTGAACAACAACTCCCATCACCTTTGATTATCTGCCATACAGACTGAAGATAATTAGGATTACAGCCCAATAGCACTTGTGGCTCTGAGATTGGGGAAAGGTTAAAGAGCATTTTAATGTCAGACACCATATCCTCTAGCCTTGTATATAAAGTCAAACTCCACTATCCTGACTAAACAGAACAAACTGCTGCCTTCCAGATCTCGCTGTAACACAGCTCCCATCAGCTCTAGCCATGAAGTCTAATGATGAGGAATACAAGAGTTGTAGTCCAGCATTTAGAGGGCCACATAGAATGATATGGTGGGCAGTTTCAGCCTGCAGACTTTGCGTTTGACACATATGTCCTAGATCAGGCATGGGCAAATTTTGGCCTTCCAGGTGTTTTGGGCTTCAACTCCCACAATTCCTAACAGGTGACAGTCCAAAACATCTGGAGGACCAAAATTTACCCATTCCTGTTGTAGATGAACTTACAATCCTATGTGATGGAGTAGAGACCGTGATCACATGCTTAGCTTTCCTGCCATGTAATTTCTCTCTTAGTGGGTAGCAAATGGGCACACAGTGAATGCAATCATTTTTCTTCTGAGTTTGGAAAAGTTGGCCTTTTTACACCTTATTGTTGTGTACCTTGTTGCTATGAGCATTTCTGACTTACGGCAATCTAAGTCCAAACCTATCACTCTTTTCTGAGGCTGAGAGTATGTGTTGCGCCCAGGGTCAGTGGATTTCCATGATTGAGCAAGTAATTGAATCCTGGTCTCCAAAGTCTTGCTACTTCATCACACTAGAGAAATGAATCCACTTTAAATCCGGTTTCTGCCTCCTGCAGAACTCTGGGGTTTGTAGTTTAGCAAGGCTGTTAAAGACTCCTCCCTAAACTGCAAATCCCAGAATTCTGCAGGAGGCAGCAACCGAATTTAAAGTGGATTCATTCTTTAGAGTGATGAGGTCCATAGTCAAACACTCAAACCACTGTATCACTTGTTTACAGCACCACACATCTCTAATCAACTAAGCCGTTTGTATGTTGGTTGCAGTATTCTAAGAACTGTAATCCAAAAAAGAAATTTTTCCAAGCTCTGGAAATGATCCTGTCATGTTGAAATGTATGTGAAGTTGAACGTTACCCACCTGTTGTAAGCTGATGCTGCCAGCATTAATTGAAATAGGGTTCTAATTAAGCAGACAGAAGAGAGCAAGAGATACATCCTGCATCTGGAACTTGAGAGGATAGGGGATTTGTCCTTCTCATTTTGAAATATTGGCTGTACTCATCAAGTCTTGTCAAATGTTTTGATATGGCCCATGGGCTAATCAATAAAATGTGTGTGTGTGTGTGTGTGTGTAGTCTTTCCTTATTTTTCTTTTTTTAGATTAAAACTACTTATAATTCATTCTTATCCTGCAGGGTGTCTTTGACGTTGATAAGAAGAAGGGACTCACTCTGATTGAGATCTGGGAAGGACTGTCAGTGGATGACATCAAGAAGAGCACGGGTGCTCAATTCACTGTGAGTCACTCCCCGTTTAACTACAGTCTTTTTCTAACAGGGTCAACAAATGAGCTGTGCCTCACCCAGGTTTCTGCACTTGCTTTGTCTGTAGTATCTACTGCAAAAAATATTTGAAGGAAATTTGCAGCAGAAAACAATGAGAAAGAAAAAGCGTTCCTTCTTCCCTTCCCTCTCCCCAACTTCTCTCTCTTGCACTCATACTTTCCTTGTCTTCATTTATGTGATGAGCAGATGCCATGACTCAGTGTAGAACCTAAAACCTTGTAAGCCCAAGGTGAAGGTCTGTAATGCCTTCCCTACCATGACATCTTAATTCAGCACAGGGAACGTTGATTAAGAATAAGTTATTCATTGCTGCCCTTTCCCTAGACACGAAGGTAACAGGCATTTGGAGATTATAATAGGTGGCACATTCATGGTTTTGTGTTGGCCTAATAAGCATTTTAACACAGTATAGATTTTGTAACAGATCGTGTTTGTGGTTTAGAGGGGAATATGCAGGAGAGTGCTTGAAATATGTGCTTGAAATATGCATTGTGAGTGAGGAATTTAAAGCAGCCTGGACTGTCATTTGGGAATACGGATTTGGTCAGCAGATCATTACAAACAGGAGGTGATTCAGAGGTGCAGTAGGTTATCTGAGTGGACATACGTGTTTGAGAAATAATTAGTTCTGATGGTATTTATCCCAGACTTTGCTTTATTCTGCATTTTATCCTGCTACAAAATGCTTTATTTAAAAGCATTTTGTAGCTGTCCCTAAGCCAGAAAGCACTCCTGGGCTTCCTGAGAAATAACAGTGCCCACACACTAACTTCTAGTCTGAAAGACATGAAGCATAATTTTCAAATGATGGTTTTAGTGGGGAACCAAGCCCAGAAACTTTTTCAGTGTTACAGTTGCCTTCCACTGAATTGGCTTTCCTTTGCTAATTCAATTGCCAGTGCCTTTGGATCATTACCAGCAAGCCCTATGTTTGGATGCACACCAAGGCTGGAGATGCACCTTAGAACCCAAAACCACAGCAGAGTTCTAGTGTAGATTAAGATAGCTTTAGCCAAAAGGGTAAAAGACTTCTAAAAATATGATAGTAAAATGTCCATAAAAAACAGTCAGCTAAACAAGGTAAGTAATCCAGTCAGCATCAAAGTCAGGAAGCAGGAATGTCCCAAAATCCAGTACACAGATCCACAGGAACTAGAGACTGTAAGTCCAAAATAGTCCAAGAAATCAAAGTCCCACAAAGATACAGAATCAAACTTGAGCGATTAAATCCAAAGGCATGAACATGGATCCAAGGCAGGAAGCATACAGGAATCTCAGCGTGAACAGGAAGGCATGAACACAAGGCATGGAGCATAAGACATGGTTGCACTTCAAATCCAAACACTGGTCTCACTAAAGATTACAGTTTCACAGGCCCTATATTTATTCACAAAGTCGTGGCAAAAGCATTCCATTTCCCTTGGGAAACCTCTTCCTGACCCCTCTTCTCTCTCAATCCTTTGGATCGCCTCCTCCCTATTTCCAGGTGGCAATGTTGATATATCTGACTCCTTCTGTAAAATACTGTCTCCCTTGGTTTGCCAATTACTGCATTCCTTTTACATTCCGACCTTGACTGCTCAAAAGTTCCCTCAACCTCCTTGTCTGCCTGCACAAAGCATCTTTGGCCTGCTGGCTAACTATCCCAGAATCCTTAGTTTCACTCTGGCTAACAGCACTCTMTTGACCCACATCCCTATTTSCAAACCCCTGAGAGTCAGCAGGAACTTGATTATTTAACTCAGGCATCGAAACCTCTGCAGACTCAGACACTGAATCCTCTGTAGAACCTTGATCATTTCCCCCAGAACCTTGATCATTTTCCTTAGGAGCCTGATGCAAAGAAATAATTACAGGCTGAACCCCTACATACATCTACAGTGGAAAAGGACAAAAATAGGCTATGGTCAGCGTAAGATTCYTCTGATGTCCCATCCACCCCTTTATTTACACCTTGTCTTCTCCCCACAATGGGAGCTGACAGAAGATTACAATAAAAATGCACATCATTAAAATATACAATGGATTTTGTAACAGAATCAGAGGWATTTCAATCAATGTTATTGATGAGCCCTATCACAATACCAAACCAAACAATAGCAAGGCTTGATAAGACTTGATTACACTCTATGTAGTAAGTTAAAATAAGACACTTATAACAATACAGTAAATAAATATGATAAAACTGAGTATATACATCATATTTTCTTATCATCCTACAATTTACCCTGATCATATATAGACAAAGCACAATGAGACAATTTTTAAATAATTTTTATAGCTCTTGTACAGAAAACCTTTTGCAAAAACTGCATCGCAAAAAACTATGTTAAAATAATTGCTGGTATCTGTAACAAAAAAGATTGTATTGCTTAAATACCAGCTGTTTTATATGCTATTTTTGGGTCTTGGGCAACGTATGTTGTTCTGATGTGAGATTCCCAATACGTTGTCCATTTGATATATGGACCAAGGTAGAAGTCTCTTACCTTCTGATGCAATTTACAACCAAATGATATCTGTTCTGTGTCCTTAATTTCAAGTGCTCTGCACATACAAATCCGTACATTATGAGGGATGTTGTTAAATCTCCCATATCTGGCCATTGTATCAAGCTGATTAAATCTAGCTCGAGTGAATAACTCCTTAAAATGTTTTGGCATTTGCATTTTTAGATAGTTGGCAATTTGAAACGTTCATTTATATTGACTAAGCCATTTTAGGTTGACAACCTTACTGAGAGTATGTTATTACACTAACAACAGAAAACAGTATAGTGTCACAGAAATCCCTTGTTTTGTAACACAATCAATCCCAGAAGGCTCGCTGGAATAGAAATGTCTTCACTTGCCACTGAAAAAGCAACAAAGAAGGAGAGATCTTAGCATCTCTAGGAAGAAACATTCAAATCGTGGGAACAGCCATGGAGAACGTTCTCGTTCATGTTCTCATCAAACATGCCATTGAACATGATGGAATACTTCCCTCTTTATTTGAGGATAAAAAAACCTACAGACAAAAACACCATAGTATTTCTGATTTGCGTTGCAAAGATGGAAATAGTGAAAGCAGCTTGTGGCAGCTCACAGGAGAAACAATGTCCTTTTGAAGAGCCTGGACATTCATCCTCCCCACCCTGCACACATACACTGGTGGGAAAATTAAGTTGTGCTTCTGAAGATCTTTATAGTAGAGCAGGATTGGTCATTTAAAAGTTAGTGGGTGGCAGACCTACTTTCAGAAAATTAGTCATATTCCTCCAAAGTCTGTGTTGCTGCGACTTTAATTTCAGTGATTTATGCCTGTTCTTTCTATTTTTAAAAATGCAGCAATTCAGAAGAAAATGTATATTTTGATGAAAGTTGTGGCTGTATGTTATTATTTTTATAGGTTTATGGAAGGGCATTTTTCATAACACGCAACAACTTTACAACTAGAGAAATGATTTAGAGCTACCAGTCTTTACTACTAAGCTGACATTATACTAGCAATAAGAAATCTGTTCTGCATTTTCCTGGGCTTTGGCTTTTCGCTCACTCTAAAACAGATTTATTGCTCAACTTGTAGATCATCCTGGCTGAGCAATCCGTTTTGATTTATGGAGGCCAAATTTATAATCAGAATCATCACAGTACGATGGGGAGTAAAAGAGAATGGAAAGCTAGTGTTGAGTCAATTTATTAGATAGTAAAAATAATAATCGGACAAGTTGTTATATGCCAAGGTTTAGTGACTTTCTGAGAAACTTCATTCTTTGTGGACAGACATAAAAATACACTAAGCCTGCAATCCTGTGCCCATATGCCTAGGAGTAAGCTACACTGAATTTAGTGGGATTTGTTTCTGATAAGACAAATATAGGACTGAACTGCAAAGATGGACTTCCAATGCAGCGATGAAGTAAACTGCTTTCAAGAGAGTAGATTAACACAATTCCTAAGTGATGCCACAAAAATTCCTGTGGCAGCTTAAATACATGATTTAGCCATGAATATTAGAGTTGTGTGCAAAACTCGATTTCATTTGTACATTATTTTGTTCCCTTTCGGAGCACAAAATGGGAGGCCCCACCCTGTCCAGAAATCATGTCGACAGAAAAGCAAGTGGGAGCGGGTACAGGCTCCATGCCTGCTTTTTGTGAGCATAGTTTAATCTTTTTTTATTAATCCCCCAACAAACAAAAAGTAAGCCCTCATTTGCTTTCTTCTTCCAGGAGGCCATCACTCTTCCTTAACTGGAAGTGGGAAGCCTCCTTAAAATGCCTTGGAGAGTGCAACGCGACCAAGGCCCTCTCCTCGGTCCCTCCTTCTCGGGTCTTGGAGCTGCTGCCTTGGCTCATCGCTGCTGCTGCTGTTGCCTGGGCTCCTTCCTATCCTTCTCTGTCTCTCATGTGAGGAAGTCACTGCCAACCCCCTCCTCTTCCTCCTTCACACCTCTTACTCTAGAGTAAGAGGTGTGAAGGAGGAAGAGGAGGGGGCTGGAGGCACGTTCTTTCATGAAGGAGAGGAAGGAGCCCAGGCAGCAGCAGCAGCAACAACCCAAGGCGGTAGCTCCAAGAGCCAAGGAGGAGAGGGCTTTGGTCACCTTTTTCCAAGGAGAGTGTGTCTGCGGCATGGAGTGCCTGAAGTTGAGCGCCTCCTCTAGAGTAGAAACAGCAGGTAAGAAGCAGCCTCCTTAAAGCGTGCGCTGGGAAGGGGAGACTGGGTGGGAAGTCCCTCCCCCTATAATGGGTCGAAGGAAAATGTATCTTTCAGACCCTGTCCTCCCAATTTCGGGAGGCTTGCTAAAAACGGATTGGGGCCCCCACCAAAACCTGGACACGAAATGGGTCAGGATTTACCCCAAATGCACAAATCTAATGAATACATCATAGCTGCTTTCACGCTTTCAGTCGGTAGGCTCTTAGGAGTTGTGGGAGTTGATGTCCAAAACACTTGGAGATTGCCCATTCCTGAGCTAGAGTGTCCCCACCTTCTTTTAGAATATGTCTAAAGAAGGATGTCCTTCTAATGTTCAGTTGAAATCTACCCTCCACTAACTTTAGAACAATTTAGAACAATTAAATCTGGTTCTGCCCTTTGGGTAGCAGAGAACAAGCCTGCACCTTTCTCTCTGTGACAGCCCTTACAGAGCGCAGTTGTGACAGTCCATGAGATATTTTAAAAGTGCAGCATTAAAAAGTGCAATCCCGTCTTTTTGATACATACATACCATGTTGACACATTCATCCCAGATAAAAATCTAGCGATCATATATACTTTTCAACACACTGACATGGCATTCAAGAATGAGACTTTTAAGCCCTAGGGACTGTCACGAAAGTTCACACGATACTGCTGTCTTGGAGATGACATGGTGACCCCAATATCTGCTCAGACTAGGGTTACCATACTTTGAAAAGCAAAGAAGAGGACACATTTCCTGATTACTTCAAGTCACTCTGAGGACTTTAAGTATCACCACTTTGTAAGATATGCTGATTGCTGTTAACGGTATTCCTGACCTCTGTATCTGCATATCAACAATTTCATCTTCCCTTTCCACTGCTGCTTCTTGCAACAGCTCCCTCTCTTATTTGACCAAGCTGCATTGTGCATGTGGGCATGGCCAGAGGCTCTCAGCCACCTTATTTAACTAGTTCACTTCCTCCTTTGGGATTGATCCCCCCCAATCCATCCATTCATCTTTCTTTCTACCTTTCTTACTCTCGCTTTCACTCCCTTTCTTCCTCTGAGTGCTTTGCTGGGCTGGCCTCTATTCCTTCTCCTACCAGAACTCTTAATGAAGTTGGTGAACTGATAATGAGGATGCAGTATTGGTGAAAAGGGCATAAAGAAGCTGCAAACACTTTTTTTAAAGTCCCCAAACATTTTAACAATCCACCCAGGCAAAAGTTTTCCTTCTGAAAAAAGAGGACATATTCAGGAAAAAGAGACTGCATTTTAGCTCTAACTCAGACTGTCCTCTTGTACAGTGACATGACCATCTCCTCTCACCATCTCACCGATCCCCACATTGAAAATAAGTGCGGTATATTTTAATTTCATTTTGTTTACATTTCATCTTTACCCCATGTGGGACCCAAGGCAGACAGCAAAGTAGGTTAAAATGCAATGTAGCTGAACCTCAGTCATAATATCCAAGGAAAAGGTTTTGTTAAAAAGTCCAGTTAATTAAACTATGTACAGTAAAACCAGAATTGAATTAAAAATAGTTCTAAAAATATTTGGAACATAACAAATGAAGAGGAAAATGCTGCATCCCGCACTGTTAGATCTTTTTGTAGTAACTGTTATTTGTTTGTTTTGTTAGTTAGTGGTTGTTTATTTCTTTATTTTAGTTAGTGATTAAGGATGTTGGTGTGAGATTTGGTGATCAATTTTTCACTGAGATGTGAAACTCTATAGATGTGTTGGGCTCCATATTCTTTCTCAACCTGGCACAATGTATCTCATGAAAATATTTCATTTACATTGGGTTGTTGTAGGTTTTTTCGGACTATATGGCCATGTTCTAGAGGCATTCTCTCCTGACGTTTCGCCTACATCTATATTTATATTCTTAGATACATGATATATTGCTGCTTTCACAGAGATAGTATTAAAGGGACCACTTTGACCCGGGACCACTCTCCAACATTAGTATCAAAAGGGGTTTTGCTCAACCTTAGATCTGGTTTAGTTATTTGATTCATAAAATTGCAATGGATAAACCATATCAGCTATACTTTATGATACAGATGCAATCCAGTAGTTGGCATCTGCTGGTCCACAAAAAACCATATTTAATAATCTAGATCTGATGTGGTCTATCCAATGCAATTTTCTGAATCAACACCCTCAGGAACAGGCCTAAAAACAAAGACACAAAAATATGGTTTTTTTTTTTTTTTTTTGGTTGGGCTGAGTTATTATCCATGGATTTTGTTAATGCTCGGCACTATAAGAGGGTTTCACAAGACCAGTTGCTCCTGTTGCAATGGTGTAGTAATGGTGAGGCCATGGACCATTTTATAGTTCTTGCGAACCACTGGTGGGAACCACTGATCTATAAAAAGAGGTTTCTTGTTACGTTTGCATGACACACCTATACACTGCAGCTTACGACACAATTTGAAAAGCTCAGTTCTAAACTATTATGGGTTTAGTGGACAAAGGATGGGATATAAAATGTGCTAATAAATAGATATGTTGTCGAAACCAGGAAAGCTGCGGGTAAGTCAGACATTTTCAGATGGTGTTTTTAAAGACTGCCTGATACAGTCTTCTCCTTTTCATTTGCCCAAAAATTCAAGGGATGTTAAAAAGAAGGGATGTAGGATAACAACAAAGAAATAAATATATAATTCTATGGAAACATTTTCTTCCTCCTTGAATCTTCATCAGAGCTATATAGTACTTTTTTAATTGTATTCCTACCTATTCATATGACTGCAGGTCTGCTGGATATTATTCATATACTATTGACAATTTGTTTTGCTTTACTGTTTTTTTTTTTCTCACTAGGTTTCACCAAACCTGGAACCAATGAAGCAGATTTCAACCTGAGAAGATTGGGCCTATCTTTTATGCTTCCATTAAAGGGGAATCAAATATCTGTTTTGCAATGATACATTTTAAAAGAGGTCTTTGTAAGTAGTTCTTCGGTAGTTAGCATCAGCCTGACTGTTAATGTTAACTCTGTAAATGTTTATTTGCGCACAACAGCTTCCCAAAATTAAACCCTATTTGGTACCTAGGTATTTATAATGACTACAGTGCAAATTTAACTATTCATAAAGAGTGGCAAGAGGCAGTTCTGCACTTTGGGTGATCATATCTCTGTTTTATTAAACTGAGATATGCATGTGCACGCCATACCTTAAGCTGAGATGTACATATGCCTTTCCTTGATACATGCAATTTGGTTGCGTGAGCCGCGCTGAAGTTTTTAAGTAACCCAGTTTCCCATTTATTTATTTTTGAACTGGGAAACTGCGGTTATTGACTTCAGACAAATCCAGGATTCTATGTTACATTTTAACTTTCTAAATGCAGATGTTGGCTTCCAGGTCTAATCTGAATACTGTAACATTGTGCGGAGGCCACTTTGACACACAATGTTAACTGCAAAGTGCCTATATATGGTTGCAACAGCATGCGCACACAGAAAAATGTAAAAAAGTACAGGCCAACTGGCTGATTGAAAGCATATGGGTAAAAAGAACTTTTGACCATATGGGTATTGGTCACAAAGAGTCAATTAGATTGAAAGGCTGCATTATTGGCCAGATTATCTGATCAAAAGTTGTCATTTTCAAATTTTTGACTTTCTGTCCTCTAAGCCAATGGCTCCCAACTTTTGGCCTACCAGGTGTTTTGGACTTCAACTCCCAGAAGTCCCAGCTGTTAGGAATTGTGGGAACTGAAGTCCAAAATACTTGGAGAACCAAAGGTTGGGAACTGCTGCTCTAAGCTGCAAAGAAAGTGAAAAGTTTGTACAAAAAGATGGTAAATCTTTTGCAATCAAAAAGTTTGCTTTTGAGATTTCCACTGGAAAGAGGATGGGGCTTCTGGCTCCGGTATTACTCTATAAAACACACTCTGAGCACTTACTAAGATTCGGCATATTAAATACATTACTCTTACTTGAGTAAAACATGCAAAGTAAATAGGTGCCTATTTGTTTGTAATGCATATAAACAAAATGTTTGTAATGCCCACAGAATGCAGAGATTCTTTATGAATTACCTTTCCATTTAAGTTTGGTTATTTAAATCCAGCACTTATTTCCATAGGAAAGAGATGGTGAGTCTGATCACCTTTCACATTGTGGAGGTTCTGTTGTGATGAAAGTTGTCATGATAAAAAAAAATGGATGGCTGCCTTTTTTTTAATAAAAAAAGAACTTTTAATAATTGCAAATACAAATGCAGAGATACATCAAATATGTGGATTCTGTCTTTCCATAGTTAACAATGAATTAATTCGCACAACTGTCTAGGGACAACAGTAACAGTAAGGTAGGATCCCCATATTACAATCTCTGTGCCATTTACGTGTTGTATAGTTCTTATACCATCAGAAATTGGAATTAAAACAGTGGCATATGAAGTCTCTTTTTGTCTTTCTTGGTTAAGCATGTCCAAATGTCTGTACCTTTCCTTATATTGGATTACCTGCAAAACAGCTAGTGAGCAAGCTATCCTGAATGGCAAAGCATGCTACAGCAGATTTGACAATGGGTTGCTGTGGGTTTTCCAGACTGTGTGGCCATTTTCCAGAAGCATTCTCTCCTGATACTTCATCCACATCTATGGCAGTCATCCTCAGAGGTTGTGAGTCTGCTGGAAACTAGGCAAGTGAGGTTTATATATCTGTGGAATGTTCAGGGTGAGAGAAAAAAACTCTTGTCTGTTCAAAGCAGGTGTGAATGTTGCAATTGGCCATCTTAATTAGCATTGAATGGCCTTGCAGCTTCAAAGCCTGGCTGTTTCCTGCCTGGGAGAATCCTTTGTTGGGAGGTATTAGCAGGCCCTGATTGATTCTTGTCTGGAATTCTCCTGCTTTTTGAGTGTTGTTCTTTATTTACTGTCCTGATTTTAGATTTTTTTTTAATACTAGTAGCCAGATTTTGTTCATTTTCATGGTTTCCTCCTTTCTGTTGAAATTGTCCACATGCTTGCAACATTCACACCTGCCCCAAGCAGACAATAGTTCTTTTTCTCACCCTGGACATTTCACGGATATATAAAGCCTAGTTTCCAACACACCTCACAACCTCTGAGGATGCCTGCCATAGATGTGGGTGAAACGTCAGGAGAGAATGCTTCTAGAACATGGCCATACAGCCCGGAAAACTCACAGCAATTCAGTGATTCTGGCCATGAAAGCCTTCGACAACACAGACTATACAATGTTTGGGATGTTTTAGCTGCTGGTAACTGAGAACAGAATGGTGGTGGTTTATGAAACTGCACTTGATTTTAGCCAAAAGGCTGGGAAGCCATGACTCCATGAAAATACGGCAGTGCAGTGAGAATTTCCCTCCAATAGAACTTGTAGGGAAACCAGTGGAATGGAAGAACAGTGGACTTCAGGAGAATGGAAACTGCTCTATGGCCGTAAGGGAAGGAACAAAGAAGAGGAAGCTGATTTTACTGCCATGGAGTGGAGTGAGGGGAGATAGATGAAGAAATGAAAGAGTAGTCTTATCAATGAATGGATGAGGATAGGTGAGAAGGAGATAGAGTTTCACCTCTGAATAACTAATTTGGGGTGATGAGATAAAAGAGCCTAAAAAAAGAAGGGGGGAGGGGGAGAGAAAATAAATGTGACTGCATTTTTAAGACTAATGGTTTTATTTCAGCATGAACTTTCATGGATATAAACCCACTTTTTTGGATGCTTACTTACTTACTTAGGCAATGCTTCATAGTCTGAAGATGATGTCCCTCCAAGTGCAGTGTCTTGGTGGTGGATACATATGTCACTGTGGACACCTTGATCCACATGTTCTCCCACAGTGAGGACATCGGTTTGCAGGTGAAGATGGTCCTGGTCAGGGTTGGCTTGACGCACTTTCCTCTTGGCACATTTTTTTATTTAGTCCTCCATCCATGCCTCTTTCAATTCTGCAGCACTTCTGGACACAGCTGACCTCCAGCTAGAGTGCTCAAAGGCCAGGGCTTTCCAGTTCTCAGTGTCTGTGCCACAGTTTTTTGGTTGGCTATTGCTCTTCTCTAAATCTTTTTTCTGTTCTTGAGTTGGGAGTAGAGTAACTGCTTTGGGAGATGGTGATCGGGCATTCGGACAAAGTGGTCATACTGAGTGGTATTCAGGCCTCATGCATAAAGCATATTCATACAGTTGTGATATATAATGTAATAGGACCAAGAAAGATGCAAATCGTGTTCTTTGATCCAAGTTTCCAAAGAGCCAGGCAATGTGGTATGGGTATTTAAGGTCTCTTTTACATCCATTTGAATATCTGTTTCATAGAATTATTATATGCTTAGGACTGAAAGTGGCTAAGAAGACAGTGATTACCATTCAAAATATAGCAGCGTTTACTCTGTACCTTTGATATGAAAAGAGGTGACTTTTGATAAGTTACAAGGCAGTTGTGCATTGATTCCAAAGGGGCTTATTCCCACATAGCTGTGTTGGGAATTGCAGCCTTTAGTGTTCCAGAGTTACATTGCTTAGGAGCCCCCAGAGGCGCAATGGGGCAGGACTGAAGACCGACAGGTCAAAGCTTCGAATCTGGGGAGAGTGAGGATGAGCTCCCTTTGTCAGCTCCATCTCCCCATGTGGGGACATGAGAGAAGCCTTCCACAAGGATGGTAAAAACATCAAAACATTTGGGTGTCCCCTGGGCAACGTCATTGCAGACGGCTAATTCTCTTACACCAGAAGCGACTTGCAGTTTCTCAAGTTACTCCTTACACAAAACAAAGAATTGATTATGTCAGTAGGACACTCATTTAAGCATTTCCCCCCAGTAACTTTGTATATTGAACACAAGAATGGCCAACAATTGAGCACCATCTTGCTTCCCTGGGAATCTTGAAGGGCTAACCCCTCGCTGCAACCCTTAAAATGATCCTCTATTCTCCTAATGGGTCTAGGGGCAATTTCACCACTTTTTGCCTTCTCTTGGTTATTTACGCTCAAAGAAAGACCAAAAAAGTTAGCAATTCAGATTCAATGGCTCTCTAGTACTGCAAAGTTTTTCATGCAAAGCACTGTGAAGGCATTCCAGCTACAAACCAGTATATCATAAAAAGAGAGAAAATATGTCTGTTCCTTTTAATGTATGAAGGAACAATATCAAATAGATGTTTTGTGGCTTGCCAGAGAGAAAACAACAAAAGGGGTAAGTATCACTTTATTGCTGTAGGCATTAATGGATTTGGACAATAGTAGTGGGCAGAAAAGACTCTGTAGTTCCACGAATTGAATGAGGACAATTTTATGTTGGTAGAGTTGCTTGAGAGTCAGCCCATTACCTAATCTGCTGGCAGCAATTTCAGATGTTCTAGCAATCAATTGATGACTGCCATTGTCGCATAAAAAGCTCATTTCACATTACCTTCTGGGTGATTATTCAAGCTAGATTAGATGATTGGGAATGTGTAAAAAATCAAGACAAAAATGCTGAATGAGGGACTGATGGAAGTGCATTTCATCCAGTTGTGCTTTGTTTCAGACTTCATGCCTCTTGCTCAAGAGCAGTTTTGGAGCTTGATCAAGTTACATTTTTAAACTATAGCTCCCAGAATTCACAAGTCAGATGTAAACAAACCACCTGCTCTCAAGATTCTCCTTAGTTTGTGTCTGACTCTGCACCCACCCCAGAAATAAGGAAAAGACAGAAGTCTAGAAATTATTGGACTGCAACTCCAGTTACTCCTTGTCAGCATAGTGAATGGAAAAATATGCTGGGATGGATCACATTTGCTGTATTCAAGATCTACTCAATCGTTATCAAAAGAACTTTGGAGGATTTTGCTTTGATTTCTATCTCATTTTCTCATTCTACACATGTTAGCATGGTTTGGGCTCACCGTTCTGAACAGCACTTGAACAGTTCAAATATAGTCAGATATTTGCATTGTGTAGAGAGCTTTTTAAAAGCACATCCAGATTTTCAAATGCATATTGTCAAGGAAGATGTAAAACCCAGCCAAGAATACCAATAGGTTTTCAATGGGAATACATGTTTGAGGGATGTTCATTGGGGCTAATCATATTGTTATATGTGTTGTTTCAATTGTATTATGTGGGGGCTGCCGCCACAATAAAGTTCCCATTGGATCAAGTATGATGCCTCTCTTCTAATAACTTTAAACTGTTTAGCAGAAACAAGCCCATTGAGAGGTTTATTTCCTGGAGGCATTTTTAAGACGGATGAAAAACAAGCTTTCAACATGAAATGGCTAATATAAGCTGTATTTATATTTTAAGCTGGACAATTCAGCCATTCATTGCCAAAGTGGAGCACATCAGATGGGATATCATAGCACTATGGGTAGAATTATTTGCATCTTTAACTAGGGTTATTCAATATGACAAAAAATGGCCTCCCTCCACAATGTGACCTTCAAGGAAACAGGTGTGACTCCAGATCAAGGCCCTTCCTAGAGAGGTGTGGGCTGATGGGTGCTGAAAAT